AAGCATCTACTATGATCTGCCACATTAAACACATCGAATGTCTCAGTTTACAGAATTTTGAAATGTAGTGGGTATAAAATCAGAGTGTCTATGCTCAAAATAGTTCTGTATTCAGAAATGAATAATATCCTGTCCATACTAGTTATAATTTGTCCACCTTTTTGGATAACACAATTACTTTAACAATCAATACCAATACAGGAATATCAAGCTGCTATTTCATAATTGAATTATTTTATTTCCTAAAGGTCTTACCAAAATAAGACTAATCATTCTTTTCATAGCTTGAAAAAGACCTGTATAAGGTTTTGTCAGTCCTGCTATTAAATGTGTTTGGAGTTTTTTGAAGTGTTATTTAATTTTGATCACAAATATACCTAAAGTCATAATCTAATTTAATCCTCTTGTTTTTTCCCTATGTAAAGTGATCTAAAACTAAAACCTTTCTGTAAATTTCTATCTCATATAAAAATTTAAAGAGATAAGTATAGTTCATCAACATTAAACTTTTTTAATATGAAAACTGATTCTTGAGTAAACCCCGAGGTTCTTTCTTGCATAAGCTGTAGGAACTTTTAAAGTTTGACTGTAACTGCTTTGCTACTTTACATGTCCTGGTTTGATAATATAGCTTTATTTCTGACATGTAGCATAATACTAAAGGTTGGTAAGATGTTACATGTATGTATTTCCCTAAAGCATCTGAATTACCCAGATTTTCTTAAATGGTATGTATTAAGTGGTCAGCTAGCCATTAAGTATTGATTTTGCCCCTACAATGTGTGTGACACCTTTCAGCTTGTGGATATTGGATGTGTGAAGGTATCTTTTACAAATATTAATTATGAACGTGCATGTAGTTATTTTTTCACCTAATTCCTTTCAAAGTACTTGCAGCCAAACACTGGATAGAACATCTCAACAGACATTGATATGGCCCTGTAAGCATCACATTACACTTACTAGTCTCAGGACTAGTCGTAATGATGCCTACAGAATTAGAATATGCCCACCGAATAACTTTAGTAGAAAGCCGATAAAAGCTAATGTCCATCATAGTTTCATGTTTTTCACGGCCCTGTGTAAACTGGGAATATTTAAGGGTTGTGTTCCTTAGGAAGAGTTAAAACTTGAAACCTCTTCTCCTCAGCATTTTTAGCGGTAGAGAAATTCTCTGGCTCATAGTTGAAGCCAGAAATCTGTTCCCGTCTTCCACTCTAGCGCCAGCGAGCAATCTTCCTGTACAAGGAAAGTGCTGCACTCATCTCTGTGTGAATGGGTTGTCTATATTCTCCTCTTCCACTGATCAAAACAGACTGTGAAGAGGGAGAGTGTCTGTGTGCTTAGGGTAGACTTTTTTTAATGAAATACTAACAGGTGGACTTCTTAAAATATATTCTTCTACAAGAGATTTCTTTGCCTTTTATATTTTGATGATTGTTTTCTTATATGAAGATGTAAGTATGCTTTTGCTCTTTTTCTGAGATTATTTAAATCATGCTTCTTTGATTTTTTTCACCATAATATTTACTAAGATAATCTGATTTACATGGGATTTAGTACTTTAAAGTGTTCTTTTACTCACAAAGTATATTTAATAAAATGCTGTGTATGTATAATGTGTATTTATTTCATTTAAAGAATTATATAGAACCTTCAGTATTGGTTTGTTATAAACTTATTTCCCATAAAAGAACACAACACCTAAATGAAGTAATACAAAAACTTTATTTCTTTGGAGGTGAGATTTTTTTTCTTTCAGAAAAGAAAAAAAATTTAGGGGTTAGAGAGATAGCTCAGTGGTTAAGAGCACTGGCTACTCTTCCAGAAGATCCCATTTCAATTCCTAACACCCACATGGCAGTTCACAACTGTCTATAACTCCACTTCCAGGGGATCAAGCATCTTTACACACAGACATACACACAAGCAAAACATAATGCATATAAAATAAAAATAAATAATTTTTTAAAAAAGGAAAATATAAGTTATAAAATTTTAATGTTTTTATCATTGTGTGTGTGGATGATGTGTATATATGGGTATGCATGCATACATGTGGAGGTCAGAAGACAGATCTGTGGAGTCAGTTTTTTCCTTACACCTTTATGGGAATTAAACTCAGGTTTTCACCAGGATGTGGTAGCACACACCTTTAATCCAAGCACTCGACAGGCAAAGGCAGGCAAATCTAGAGGCTAGCCTGGTCTAAGGAGCAAGTTCCAGGACAACCAGGGCCACACTGAGAAACCCAGTCTTGACAAATCAACAAAAACAAAAATCTCAGGTCTTTAAGTTTGCAGAAACAGCACTTTTATCTACTGAACCATCTCACTGGCCCTCATATGAAGAATTCTATTAAAGACTAACTACATGATTATTGTAAATTTAGTTTGTGATGAAATAATTTGCATGAATAAAATTCACTAGCACTAATTTATTGTCCTCAATGTTCAAATCCTAGTGGAGACAGTCAGCCAATAAAGAAATAGCAATAAATAAAACAAGAAAGAGGGATAATGGAAAGCACAGGAGAATGTGCTACATGTAGGCAGAATTTTTCCATCGCTGGAGCCGCTTCCAAACTTAAACACAGAGACTTATAGTAATTGTAAATGTCCAGCTAACAGCCCAGGCTTATTACTAAGTAGCTCTTAACATTTTAAGCTAACCCATATTCCTTATTTAAGCTCTGCCATGTGGCAGTACATTTATTAGCATGGCACATTCATCTCCTGCTCCCACTACATCTAGCTGGTGAATCCTGACTCCAACACTCTCCTTCCCAGCATTCTCAATTTGGCTTTCCTGCCTAACTTTATCCTGTTCAGCAATTGGCCAGTCAGCTTCTTTATTAAACCAACCACAGCAACAAATCTTCACAGTGTACAAAAGGATTATTCCACAGCAGCTACAGTCTGATTTGGGAGCAGAGGGGGAGATTATTTGGATAGTTAGGCAAGGTCTCTCTAAGGATGTTTTGTTTTGGACTGTGTTCAGTGGGGCAAACAAATGCAAATAAAGAGTCTAGTAGGCACTATGAAAAAGAAACAGACAGATGCAGCCCTTTAGAGTAGCAAAGGGAAGGAGGACACTGAAAAATATAAAAAGTTCTATCTTACTTGTAGGACTTGATGTAAATCAGAATTTCTTTCCCTTCTCTGGATTGCTCTTTTTTTTTTTTTAACCTATGACTTGGAGTTGCTTAGAGTAATGTGCTACTTTTAAGTTTTGCATTCCATTGTTCATGGTAACTCCACCACTGGTCTTCATCTATGCAAAATATGTGTATGTGATGTTAGAATGATCCAGTTTATGCTGGCTAAGCAGTTTATTAAGAAGAAAAAAGAACACTCGGGAGGCAGAGGCAGGCGGATCTCTGTGAGTTCGAGGCCAGCCTGGGCTACCAAGTGAGTTCCAGGAAAGGCGCAAAGCTACACAGAGAAACCCTGTCTCAGAAAAAAAAGAAAAGAAAAAAAAGAAAAACGAATATAGTCTGTAACTGAGACAATCCAAGAATCCGAAGTGTATTATAACACCAGATTGCCTGAAGTAGACTCTAATGCTTTAGAAGATCTCCTAAGATTACTATCAAAGTGGGTTGGGAGTCTTAGAAATCAATCCAGGCCCCATAGGAGTTCTTTGGATAAAGATTCTGTGTGTAGGGCTGTGAGCCATTTGAATTCTTTAACCTCAAATACATTTTGGATAGGCCAGGGTTAGAGTTCTGTTACTGGCTAAACATTTTTAATATTTAATAAAAAATATGTAAGTACACACACAGAAGTAAACATGTTCTGTTTCCACTGGCCTCACTTGAACCATTTGGAAATTTCACCAAATACATAAACTAGTAATTGTATTTAACAATACAGAATAATGGGGAGATTGTCTAGAAACAAAAGCCAGAGTGACTCTAGAGACTATTTCAAAGTAAACATGTAGAAAAATGTTTGAAAAGATGTCTGGCATCTACTAAGGCCTTTTAAAGAGCATCTAAAGAGAATGTTGATTTAAAAATTAAGGAAATTAAAATGTTGTTAGAGAAAGTAATGGGACAAAGCAGCCTGAATAGGAGAGGAAGTATTGCCCTCAAATTTAAGATACTCCTAAGTAAATTTATTCATTGTCTTAAAAATCTAAAACTTAAACACAAGGTTCAGATTTTCCCCTAACATTGACTGTAGGAAACAGTAGAAATTACTGAAAAGATGTAATTTCAAGTCACACTTGCTGTGTCAGTCAGCTGATGTCTAAATAACAAATCTCTTAAAAATGGTCTTAGGTCACCTTTGACTTACATATGAATACATGTGTATAAAACGACGTCAGTAATATCAGGAATGTTAGACCATAGTAGATCATAAGAAATTTTTTCCAGGGCTTTTAGGAACAAGGGTAACGTAAGCACAAACTTCCAAATTCGGTGGCTTGGCCGGGCTCTAGGACAATTCCGTAGGCGATTTCAACTAAACGTTAATTCCTCAAAAGCTCAATGGCACACTGCAGCGTATTTCCTTTCCGTGCCGCAGCAGCAGCAGCTGCAGGCAGCAGCAAATTATCTCAAACCCGCAACCTAAGAAATGAGGCCAGGCGATTCCCATGCCCCTCAAAGATGCGGCAGAGGCTCTAGGTGACTGACATGGGAGGCGTGTCAGGCCTGAGGCCCCGCCCACCAGCCCCGACAGACCCCGCCCACTCGAGCGGGGCTTCGCCGCAAGCCCCGCCCCGTGCCGTCGCCTCCGCGGGCTGAGGATGACGTGAGGAGCGAGCGGCGGCGGCGGCGGCGGCGAGCGTCTGCCTCCTGCGGGTGCAGCTGGGCCA